AGTCAAAGAAACAGTTAGTCAGGGAAAGAGTTAGTCAAAGAAAGAGTAAGTCAGGGAAAGAGTTAGTCAAAGAAAGAGTTAGTCAAAGAAACAGTTAGTCAGGGAAAGAGTTAGTCAAAGAAAGAGTTAGCAAAGAAACAGTTAGTCAGGGAAAGAGTTAGTCAAAGAAAGGGTTAGTGAGGGAAAGAGTTAGTCACAGAAAGAGTTAGCAAAGAAAGAGTTCGTCAGGGAAAGAGTTAGTCAAAGAAACAGTTAGTCAGGGAAAGAGTTAGTCAAAGAAAGAGTTAGTGAGGGAAAGAGTTAGTCAAAGAAAGAGTTAGTCAGGATATGTGAGGTAGTCAAAGAAAGAGTTAGCAAAGAAACAAGGTAGTCAAAGAAAGAGTTGGTGAGGAAAAGAGTTAGTCACAGAAAGAGTTAGCAAAGAAATTGTTCCCTCACTGTAAATGGCATTGCAAGTGGTGCTGGTGGAGGAGTTGCCGATGGAGTTTTGGAAGAAGTCTCGCACGAAATGCGTTTTTGAGAGATAGCAGATGCACGAAACCCTATGTTTTTCCATACAAAGTCCGTCCCCGAACCTCGATGATCTACCTCTGCGGTGCGACGGGTGCGAGACGGTCTCGTGTGTGGTCGGATCATGCTCGGATCATGCTCGGATCGGTTCCGCATTGTAAATTGGGTTTCACCTGTTTTTCGTGCATGTGCGGTCGACAGAATGGTGATTTGCAACTGTAGGATCGTTCCCGCAATGTAAATGGGATTGCAAGTGGTGCTGGTGGATGAGTTGCCGATGGAATTCCATTGTGATTTGCAACTGTAGGATCGTTCCCGCAATGCAAATGGCATTGCAAGTGGTGCTGGTGGAGGAGTTGCCGATGGAGTTTTGAAGGAAGTCTCGCACGAAATGCGTTTTTGAGAGATAGCAGATGCACGAAACCCTATGGTTTTCCATACAAAGTCCGTCCCCGAACCTCGATGATCTACCTCTGCGGTGCGACGGGTGCGAGACGGTCTCGTGTGTGGTCGGATCATGGGCGGATCATGGGCGGATCATGTTCGGATCGGTTCCGCATTGTAAATGGGGTTTCACCTGTGTTTCGTGCATGTGCGGTCGACAGAATTCCATTGTGATTTGTAACTGTAGGACCTGTAGGATCGTTCCCGCAATGTAAATGGGATTGCAAGTGGTGCTGGTGGATGAGTTGCCGATGGAATTCCATTGTGATTTGCAACTCTAGGATCGTTCCCTCAATGTAAATGGGATTGCAAGTGGTGCTGGTGGAGGAGTTGCCGATGGAGTTTTGAAGGAAGTCTCGCACGAAATGCGTTTTTGAGAGATAGCAGATGCACGAAACCCTATGTTTTTCAATACAAAGTCCGTCCCCGAACCTCGATGATCTACCTCTGCGGTGCGACGGGTGCGAGACGGTCTCGTGTGTGGTCGGATCATGCTCGGATGGTCTCGGATCGGTCTCGGATCGGTTCCGAATTGTAAATGGGGTTTCAACTGTGTTTCGTCTATGTGCGGTCGACAGAATTCCATTGTGATTTGCAACTGTAGGATCGTTCCCGCATTGTAAATGGGATTGCAAGTGGCGCTGGTGGATGAGTTGCCGATGGAATTCCATTGTGATTTGCAACTCTAGGATCGTTCCCTCACTGTAAATGGGATTGCAAGTGGTGCTGGTGGAGGAGTTGCAGATGGAATTCCATTGTGATTTGCAACTCTAGGATCGTTCCCGCAATGTAAATGGGATTGCAAGTGTTGCTGGTGGATGAGTTGCCGATGGAATTCCATTGTGCTTTGCAACTGTAGGATCGTTCCCGCAGTGTCGGGTGGTTGCGTCAAGGTTGCTTCGTGCTGTGGCTGCATTGGTAATACTATTGTCTTTTGCAGCTCGATCTCGTAAATCGTATTGGAGTGGCTGCATGAAGGCTGCCACAGTGATTTGTCAGCAGATTTTCTCCATTTTGGCGCTAGTGATTTTCCTTCTAAAAATCCTTTTAAAAACTGCTTCAAAATCGTCTTTTTTTCGCTCTGGCGTCGAGATCCGGTTTTGGAGCTACAATTTCCGACGCCGTTGTGCGTAGTTCTGTTGTGTTTTGCAACTCAGTCTCTGCAGATCGCATTGTAATGGCTGTGTCAAGGTTGCTTCGTGCTGTGGCTGCATTGGTAATCCTATTGTCTTTTGCAGCTCGATCTCGTACATCGTATTGGAGTGGCTGCATGAAGGCTGCCACAGTGATTTGTCAGCAGATTTTCTCATTTTGGCGCTAGTGATTTTCCTTCTAAAAATCCTTTTAAAAAGTGCTTCAAAATTTCAAAATCGTCTTTTTTTCACTCTGGCGTCGAGATCCGGTTTTGGAGCTACAATTTCCAACGCCGTTGTGCGTAGTTCTGTTGCGTTTTGCAACTCAGTCTCTGCAGATCGCATTGTAATGGCTGTGTCAAGGTTGCTTCGTGCTGTGGCTGCATTGGTAATCCTATTGTCTTTTGCAGCTCGATCTCGTAAATCGTATTGGAGTGGCTGCATGAAGGCTGCCACAGTGATTTGTCAGCAGATTTTCTCCATTTTGGCGCTAGTGATTTTCCTTCTAAAAATCCTTTTAAAAAGTGCTTCAAAATTTCAAAATCGTCTTTTTTTCGCTTTGGCGTCGAGATCCGGTTTTGGAGCTACAATTTCCGACGCCGTTGTGCGTAGTTCTGTTGTGTTTTGCAACTCAGTCTCTGCAGATCGCATTGTAATGGCTGTGTCAAGGTTGCTTCGTGCTGTGGCTGCATTGGTAATCCTATTGTCTTTGGCAGCTCGATCTCGTAAATCGTATTGGAGTGGCTGTATGAAGGCTGCGACAGTGATTTGTCAGCAGATTTTCTCCATTTTGGCGCTAGTGTTTTTTTGTTGCACGTAGGTTTAGAGCAGTGTGAAGTGTGGGGCGTGAAGAGTGCAGTGTGAAGTGTGCAGTGTGAAGGAAGCAGTGGGAAGTGAGAAGTGCGAAGTGTGGAGTGTGAAGTTTAAGTTTGGAGTGCGAAGAGCGCAGTGTGAAGTGAAGTGTGAAGTGTGAGGTTTGGAGTGTGAAGGAAGCAGTGAGAAGTGTGAAGTGTGGACTGTGAAGTGTGAAGTGTGAGTGAAGTGTGGAGTGCGAAGTGCAAAGTGAGAAGTGTGAAGTGTGAGTTTTGGAGTGTGAAGTTTGGAGTGGGAAGGAAGCAGTGAGAAGTGAGAAGTGTGAAGTGTGGACTGTGAAGTGTGGAGTGTGAAGTGCGAAGTGAGAAGTGTGAAGTTTGGAGTGTGAAGGAAGCAGTGAGAAGTGAGAAGTGTGAAGTGATAAGTGTGAAGTGTGGACTGTGAAGTGTGGAGTGCGAAGAGCGCAGCGTGAAGTGTGAAGTGTGAAGTGTGAGGTTTGGAGTGTGAAGGAAGCAGTGAGAAGTGTGAAGTGTGGACTGTGAAGTGTGAAGTGTGAGTGAAGTGTGGAGTGTGAAGTGCGAAGTGAGAAGTGTGAAGTTTGGAGTGTGAAGTTTGGAGTCGGAAGGAAGCAGTGAGAAGTGAGAAGTGTGAAGTGTGGACTGTGAAGTGTGGAGTGTGAAGTGCGAAGTGAGAAGTGTGAAGTTTGGAGTGTGAAGGAAGCAGTGAGAAGTGAGAAGTGTGAAGTGAGCAGTGTGAAATGTGGAGTGTGAAGTGTGAAGTGTGAAGTGCGAAGTGAGAAGTGTGGACTGTGAAGTGTGAAGTGTGGACTGTGAAGTGTGAAGTGTGAAGTGTGGACTGTGAAGTGTGAAGTGTGCAGTGTGAAGTGTGAAGTGTGAGGTTTGGAGTGTGAAGGAAGCAGTGAGAAGTGAGAAGTGAGAAGTGAGAAGTGTGGAGTGCGAAGTGTGGAGTGTGAAGTTTGAAGTTTGGAGTGCGAAGAGTGCAGTGTGCAGTGTGAGGTGTGGAGTGTCGAGGGAAGGACACGGTCGGGACAGGTTGTCTTTGAACTATAGGTCATTTATGTTTGGGAAACTTCCGCCGCCGGCTTGCCCGGGTCTATGTTAGGCATAAGGTCATGATAGATAATGAAAGATAGGTCTCAAAAAGATGCCTTTCGCGACTTTCCTCCATGTTGATTTCTTCAAAACATTCTTGCCCCATCCTGCCTTTACCTCTGCTGCCAGTACTATTTTGGTGGGATTCCATGTTCAAAACCAGATGATTTCAAGACTGAAAGGTGGCGATGCACTTGACAACCAAGGAAATGAGCTCGAGAAATTCCCAGTGGCCCTGAGTGACAGATTCCAGTGGCCACAGCAAACCGTCACCAAGTGCAGTTGGGGCTTCCCAAAAGCTTTGTTCATTTGAAGATACATGCACATGACAGCCATTTCAGAGTGAGGCTGCGCCATTTTTGTGGAATCCAACTTTCAAACAGAGGCTTAGTGGAATTGCCAGATGGAGAGTTTTGACATGAGACCCAGCCAGGCTTCGCCTGGAATTGCCAGACAGAAAAGAACGCCATTTTCCAAAGACACAGTGGGTGTGGCACTGTTGGGTATTTTTGTGTTGCAACACTTTTTCAAGCGGCTTGTGCACGACTGTGCAGAGCAACCACATTAAGATCGCATTCAGATCTTGCTGGAATATGTCCTGCTGTCCCCTGAGCACTGTATCTATTGGGCAAAACAATTTCTTTGGTATAGATTCCTGATGCCTAATGTGATGACTATTGGTTCGGTGGCACCTCTGTTGACCCTGCCTGCAACAAACACATTTGTTTCATCCTTGTTGTCTTTCAATCCTGTTGTCAGCTTTTGTCACAATGCATCGCGATGCCACGCTTCAAACCTGGAGACTTTGAGGAGTGCACTTGGAGTGAGCCTCGCATCGCTGACTTGGTGGCGAAGCGCGGCCCATCGCTGCTGGTGGGCTCTTACCACAACTTTGGAAGGACATGCCTTGCAGGGTGAAGAAGTGACATTAGATCGGTTGGGTGGATGGTTTATCTTTCGTCAGCCTTGCCGTTGTTGGCGCAATTCCAGGATGCTGAACCGGACGGAATTGAAGGACGTGCAACTCGGCTTTCCGCTTGTGTTTGGTCAAAAAAATTTGAATATCCTGAATTCTTGCGCCACCTTTCCAAAACTGGACGAAACCACATCTGCGATCACGTCTGATGACCTGAGCATCGCTGAGGTTTCAGAGATGTATGCTAAGCGGAGCAGCGGCCATTGCCAAAGTTGTGGTGAAAGCAGAAGCCCGCGAAGACAACTGGACAGTCCAAGAGGTAGGGCAGGAGCCTCAGGTGGCTTCAGCATGCTTCAGCTTCGTCTTTCTTTGGCATGGCGATGGGTAGTACTGGATAGTAACGGATAGCATTTCACCGACCTGATGGTCTCTCAATGTCTCTCACCTTCAAACCTCCTGTAAGCCTTAGCTGTTCTTTCTCATCCTTTGAGCTTGTCCCGCACAGGAAGGCCACCACACCTGACTCTGCAGCGTTCATTGGACTTTGCCTGGGAGAAGCTGGGAAGTTGTCGCGGGTTCTGAACCAAGTCATGTGTCCCTCGATGCATCCGAGCCTTGCCCCGGGTGCACCGGGGCAGATGTCGGTGACCGAGCTCTTGGAGACGCGACAAGCTTTGGGTTTGATGGGCACCAGCCGCCAGTTCGCAGTGATTGGACCTTGGGAAGGCGAAGCTCCAAAGACTAGTGCCGCAGCATCCTTGTCTTTAAGGCTCGTCGTGGGCGGCCAGTTGACTTTCCTTTATGCCTTACATATGCCTTACTATTTGTGAAATCCAGGATATCTGAAAGATTCTGAAAGGATGTAGGAGTACCGCCGGCATGCAGTCTGCAGACGTGCAAAGGAGGGCAGGTGGTACAACCTTGTAGAACGACGTTACATCATGATGATGATGATGATGATGATGATGGTGGTGTGCCTATGCTAGTCTATGTGGCTGTTTGCATGGAGTTGCAACACACACACACACAAAGGCGCGGTGCCATATATTATTAGACTATTATTTTCAAACATGTTCTACTAATGATTAGGCACTAACATATATACATTATATGCATCACGCACGTGCCGATAGATCAATAGATTTTGTAAAATAATTACTCTAGATACTGTAGTACTGTGGATAATTATGCATATATGCATATGAAGGACAGTAGGCCAAGAGTATTTTGTCACTCGGAATGGAGCGCTGCAGTCCCGGGCGAAAGGTATTGGGACCGGTTCTTCAAGAAGTGCTGAAGACTTGATGCATCTACGTGCAATGCTGCTAATGAGTATGTCACGTGGGGCGGTTGTTGTCGCTGTGCGGTCAGGCTCCTTCAAGCAGCCTTCAAAGCTTTGCAGTTGCCTCACGTCGCGGTGCAAGATTTCGCCAGGAGTAGTGAAGAGGCCTGGTGCGACATTTGCGACGCACCGCAAGGGGTACTGTGAGTCTACATTGAAGCAGCTTGGACGCCCGCCGCATCCACAGTCTTCACACGACACTTAAAAAACGAAAGGCCCGCACCATGTCGAAGGAACGGTCTACAAAATGGTGCCATGTTATGTACAAGGCTTCAACATATTCCAAAGCTTTGAAGGGTTAATGGCTTTCATATGCTTTCATATCTTTCATGACTATTTCATGACAATTTCTTATGGCTTCTCGGATGTTTATTGCAGGCTTCACGGCTTTTGGCTTTGGCTTCCACGGGTGGTGCTGTGCTCCTTGGACCACTCACCTCGCAGCTGGCCTCTGAAGCTTGGGCAGACGTGAGTTATGTGGATTGCGTGGTGCAGCGGAATGGGAAGTTGACGGGTCACTGCTGCAAATCCGAACGGCTTAAGGACCCGCGATGACCCGGGAGTCTGTAGTTTCATTGGTCGTTGGTGATGTGTCCTTGACAATTGTCTGACTTTTCTTGGCTTGTTGTCTTTCTTTCTTTCAAACTCGAGGGGTTCGCCGAACTTAATTCATCGTACTTGATGTCCTGGGCTGCCTTAGCATGCCTTAGCCACGTTCCAAATTTCCAGTATTCTGTGTGTTCAGCGTTGAACGATCTCAAGCATAGCTTTGTCTCCGACGCCAACTCTGTCTGTACGCTACTTGTAGGAGCGACTGCAGCCTCTGGGCTCCAAGCGAACAGCTGCGATTCTGGGCGAACGTGGCGACCCAGCTGCCTGTGTGGCAGGGCTCCATGCTGTGGGCTTCCAGCGGATCGTCACGGCCACGCCCTGTGAGGAGCCAGATGTGGAAGTGGTCCAAGACCTGTCCAAGGCAAGGACGTTTTTTCGTTGCCTTTCAGGAGCTGTATTCCCAGTAGAATGGTAAAGAGTCCAAATTAGATCAAATAAGTGTGATTTTAAACTTCGCATGTAAGACATTGTAAAACATTGTAAGACACTGTAAGACCGTCAGGTGAAAGATTTGGACGCTTTGATCTACATGGGGCGCCTTGGCGGCAACAGATGGGCCTGATGCCTCCTGCGATGCTGTGATACGTTGCTGAGACTCAGGATGGAGATGCCACTGGAGAAGTTGCAGCAGAGCCTCACTGAAATATGTCAGTCACTTGCCAGGTTTGAAGAAATTGAAAGATGAAAACAGTTGAACATACGTATGTAGGATTATGTGGGAGGGGCGCTGCACTTGGCACTTAGCAAGTTGCTGGATAGACTGAAGCTCCTGCGCACGGCTTGTCAACATCCACTCTCAGGATCTCTCAGGAAACTCTGCTGACCAAAACTCTCATGCCATTTTTAAGGTCAAACAAACCCATGGTGATTGATATGTCCTTGCAGATGGACGAGGCCTCAGCGAAAAGCAGTAACAGTTGCACCAGGATGCTGGAGAATGCTGTAGTTGTCCCTATGTTCCGATTTTCCACCTTGGATCCTTCAGTTTGAGGCGCCAACTTGGCTATCAGAGTTGGCAAAGAAGTCAGACTGTCAGATGGTCAGCTCAGAGGTCTTTCTTTTGGAGGAGGCGCTCTGCACCAATTTCGATATGTTTTGATACATACTGCCACATGATTTTTGCATATGCTGGCGATCTGATTCCATTGGAATTGGCCACTGCCTCTGAGCAGATGCTGGCTTGGTTCCGGGCCTGGCACATTGAGGTCGGGAGGGGTCTGATGCTTTTGTGTTTCTGTAATTCTTTGTCATTCTTTGCGGTTTGTTCAAGACTTTTTTCAAGACTTTGTCCATGTTGAGATTGCTGATCCATCATCCTACTTTGTCGATTTATTCCATCGTCGGCGTCCAAAAATCTGACTGACATTTGGGCAATTCTGTGAGCGGTTGGTACTAGAGCCTGTGTTCGTGTCCGAATGCCGGGAGATGGCAACAAGACTTCTGCGAGGCAAAGGCAGATGTTCTGAAAGAGGTCTGTGGCTGAATCCAGTGGACATATATGGTTCTTTTTCGGCGCAGAGAGAGGCGTACATCAGATGTCAACATCCCCAAGAGGTCATTTTCAAATTTCATACCCCGCAGACTACCACAGTGTGTTTCAGGATGTTTGAGGCAATTCTGAGAGTTTATTTCGTACATCTGTTGATTCCTTGATCAGCTTGATGGGGGTTCCCTCTGATGAAGTGGACCGTGGAAGATGATTGAAGAAGCGCTAGTGTGATCCAAATAATTGAGTTTGCTGAAGAAACATGTCTAAGACATCTTGGACAAAGTCTAGGACTTCCGAAAGTCTGTCAATTTCTGTCAATTTCTGTCAATATATATATATATATATCAAGATGCATCAAGATGCCGTGATTTGCTGAGACTTCTGTGAGCCACGGCTGATGTCGCCGAGGTCGTCGCCAAAGAGCTGGTGAACTTCAGAGAGGCACCAGTGCGGAGGAACTTCAGAGAGGAAACAATTTGGAAGTGACATGAAGTGACCAAAGAGGGAAACCATGGGAAAACAATGTGAATTATATAATTTATATTAATTTATCTGACTTGCATATGAAACCACATTGAAAGATATTGGAAGATCGACCAATACTGTATTGAGTCTATTGAGTATCTTTCAATCGAAGGGAAAAGCGGAGAAAGTAATTCAAGGACCTAGGGTCATCAGGCAAGGTAAAACGGTAAGTCGCATGGATTCGGACACCTAAATGAATTTGAGGGAGGTTGTCTCACATTCAAGTTGAATCAAGTTCATTGAAGTTCATTCTCATTCCGTTTTTTCTGCCTACGAGCTCGTGAGCAAAAAGTCGTGAAATTCCATTCGGGTGCATCAGTTCCAGAAGTCTCAGTCTCCAGGCTTCACAGCAAGCGCGGCAAGCTTGGACTTAAGGCGAGCTCGGTCAGATGTCCTTGGGAGACTTTCATGGCCCATGGTCCATCATGGTCCATCATGGTCCATCATGGTCCATCATGGTCCCTTGAAGGCCTTCGGTCTGTGCAGTCGCCAACAGGTGTCCAAACCATTCACGGCTTTTGAAAGCAACGTGTTCCTTGTTGTCAGTGAGTGTTGAAGTCTTTCTCATCACCTTTCAAGTCATACTATGGGGACTACGCTTCACCTCACAGTGTGCAGCAACAAGCCAGTGACAAGATTTGGAGGACACATCTGAACAAAGTCTCAGCATGTAGAAACTCTCGTTTATCGAACACCGCATATGCTTCTGCAGGTGTGCTGGGCGCAATGGCTGCTGCCCAGTGTCAGGCTGTATTTGGCCAGCCTGCGCGTTTAGATTTTTTCACAGATAGCCACGGGCGAAGACCATGAGTCTCCCTCTGCGTCCTCAAAAAGTCCAGCGCACCGTCAGCCTGCTGGAAGTTATCAGTTGCAGCTTGAACCGCTGGCAGATGCTGGCAGCCTGAGATCCGCTGGCTCGATCTTGCTGCCACTTAGGTTCCTGGAGAGAGGAGCTCACACCATCCCAAGCCAAATTGGTGGATGAGATGCGGGGGACCTGAGATTTCCACGCCCTATCACATCCTATCACATCCTATCACTCCAGTGCCGTTTCAAATGCCATCAATTTGAGCAACAAAGTCATGTGTCAATTTGGCATCAAATGCATCTTGCCTGTGGCACTTTGCCGTGCGCTGAAGGCTTTGGAAGCAACTCGGATTGGAGATGGGCGAAGGCCATCGTTACGAAGAGTTCCCCACTAGAAGTTGCAAATTGTAGATGAAAGATGATGAAAGATGATGAAAGTTGATGAGAGTGTGGTGAGGCGAAATGAGCAAAGTGGTTGTTGGATATTGTAGGGATGTAGTGACAATGTAGTGGATGTAGTGGGGAAACTCAATACGGTACCTTTCATGATCCCAGGGTCCAACTTGCCAGGTTTGCGGATCGACTGATCGTGGCAGCAAGTGTTGGAAAAAGATGTTGCCCAAGCGGTGACGCAAGCGGCGCGAGATGGAACTTCAGAGGTTTGGGTCGGCCATGTGGTCATGGGCATCCGATGGTGGGTTTTCATGCTAGATTCTGCTAGATACACTAGTGTCACTAATGTCTCGTAGTATCTTGTAGTCGTAGGGAATGGGATGGAATGGGTAATTACCTAGGAAGGACTATGCGCTTCATCATGCCATATCATGCCGTTCCGCAGCTGCTAGAAAACCAGCTTGATGCAAGTGGCTAAGAAGTCAAGATTCCGCAGAGAGGCGGACATGTCACTGAGACATGCAACACTTTTCAATAGTTGCAAGCACGGAAATTGATGGAAATTGTGTTTCCATGCTTGGTCTACTTTGGAATTGTTTGCATGACAGAGGCAGGTAGATCATGTATAGACAGGGCTTGAGGCTTTGAACTTGTTACCATTCAATGCACCAACTGGAACAATGGGACAGCAGGAGTGACAGGCGTTTCAGCTGGTTTTAGCATATAGGCCGCGTGATTTTTAGCGCTGCAGTGACCGGCAACCTTTTGGCAATGGATCTTCATGGCGTGCCATGGAGGGCGTCAAAGACTCCCGAAGTCTTCAAAGTCCTGGCGCCCGATCAGAAGCCCTCGCCGTTGTGGGGGAACTACATCTCCAGCAGGAGTGGCTTGGCAGGGCCAAAGCGGCGAAGGTTACATGTTGCACATTGTTGCACATTGTTGCACATTGTTGCACATTGTTGCACATTGTTGCACATTGTTGCACATGGTGCATCATGGTGCATATCCATGCAACCCAAAAACTTCGAGGGCGCTTTAGAATTTTTGGCGAAGTGCGAGGATCAGTTGACATCAGAGATGACTGATGCCTGCCGACCAAATGGGTAACCACTGGCCAAGTGCAAGACACTGTACCTTGTAGATCTTGTAGATTATTGCTCTGGTGAGGTTAGCCAAGAGTTCGTCGGAGCTCGATGCTGTGCGAACAGCCTGGGCTTCCTTCGGGCAAAGCTTGCAGCGTCAGCTGCAAGGCTTTTTGTCCCTGGATGCCAGCCAGGTCGGGTCAGGACACCCACGACAATTCATGACAATGCCACGACAATGCCATTATACACCACGGGTCGGCCATCAGACAAGACAGCCACCACTTGCCAAACACGTTCATAGTTGATACTTGGTAGAAACCAGTTGAAGCAGATTTTTGTTGCGGGATGCCAGAGTGTTACTTTGTCCTTCCGGTGAATTTTCTTGCCCGGTCCTGCACCAAGCGGCCTTTTGTCAGCAGAAGACTTTGGTTCAGCAGGCAGCATTTTATTTGCGTCACTATGCGTCACTTCTCAATCAGCTTCCATGACGAAAACATATATACTGCAACTGAAGGTGGAGCCAAGTCCAATTCAGATTTCTTCCGCGAAAAAGGTTGTCATACGTCGTACCCCACCTCATAATTACTCCCAATATCTCCCAATTGCAATCGCATTCACTGATAGCATGTTATTCTTTGAGTTCCAAATTTCAATGTCTTGCGGAACGTCAAGGATGAAATTCAGAAATAAATTGGACCTATAGTTGCATAATTGTTGCATATAGCTGCATATAGTTGCTATGCCATATGATGCCCCATGCGTGCAATCCTCTGGGAGGAGTTTTGAAAGCCCGACAGCTGGTACAAGGGCTGGCCGAGCTGCAACGGGACGAGGAGAGCAGCGATTTTCTCAGATCCTTGGAGGAGTCCCAGCGTCGTTGCTAGGCATTTAACTTAAACTAAACACGTCCCATCACTGAAGATCCTTGGCGGATCCGCTAGGATCTCTAGGGCTGCCAGATGGCTGCCAGATACAAACAAATCACATCAAAATCATCAAATTACACAGAGACAATCATGGAAACCCAGAGTAAGTGATGTACAGTGCCCAGACCGTGCGATGAGACGCTCAGGTTGTGAGAGTGTGAACCGGGAGATGGTGAGACAGGTCCAAAAGCACGAGGAGTTGGTGCGTGCATTGGCAGCCCTCAAGGATACGAATCGACGGTTGGTTGAGCAGATCCGAAGCTAGGACTCAATGTGGCCTCCTTGGGTTTGAAAGACGGGTGACCGAGTTAGCTGAGTTAGCCACCCTAGAGAAGAGTCGATATCAAATGTTTTTGGCGGCTGGCAGGTCTGGCCTCATTCACAAAACAAAAGTGACACAACAACTTGTGAAGTGTATGCGCAACCAGAGAAGTACAATGAAGTCACGAAGTGTATGCGCAACCACAGAGATGCGTAACCGAGGCATCCAAAGTGATGAAATCGAGACGATCTCCCAGCAGAAAGCCACCGATGAGCAACGGCTGCTACTGGCGAATTCGCGGCATGACCAGGATTTCAGTAGCAGTCGCCTGGAGGCCTCGAGGCAGATGGCTGCAGCCAGAGATATTGCTTTAAGGCAAGGGTGGCTGTGGCAAGGGCCATTCAAAGACCATCCCTGCAGACCATAATCCTCACCTGGAAACATTAGCAAACAAGACAAACAGGTGTTTAAACATGTTTAAACAAGGTTTGCAAATGTTTGCAACACTTTCCCTCTTAGTTTGTTCACCTTGCACATCCCTGCACCTTGCGTTGAGTGGCTTGAGCAACTTCAGTTTAAACATGTTTAAACCGCCAGGCGCAAGGAAAGGACCCGAGAGCAGATGCAAGAAGCCCTGAGGCTGGACTGAGTATTCCCAGGAAAATAGTGGAAACCATCGAACTAGTGTTGCCAGACAGCTGTACCGTGATCAGTATGGATCAGTGCAAATACACCAGTTGGATGGGATGAATTTGCGAACTTGTTAAGAAAACGGGCCGTCATATCCCAAGTCACTTTGCAACTTTCTTCGGTCTTAACTACTCTTAACTGTGTCAGTTCTGCTGTTGGGCCTCAGGCAGTGGAGCGCACATGCTCAGATGCAGTTTCAGGTCTTCCTGGGAAGAATCATCGTTCTTTTTTGCAGTGTCTGCGCGGTCAGAAGCATGCTGCAAAAGGCAATGGCAGGTTTACACAGTTCACTCACAGGCACAGTGACATCCCTCTGCTTTGTTCTTTTTCAAGATTATTTTAAGATTGATATGCTCTGGAGCAGCTCTTTTCCTCGTTCATTTTGTGATCGAGAAAGGAGGGCCTCACTCTACCCGGTGCACCACTCTGCTCCTTGAAACCACTTGGACTTGTCATGACTTGTCCACATGTGGTTTTCGCCTGTGAGGCGGTCGCAGCAATTAGTGATGAGCAGAGCCAGCTCAGGCCGAGAAAGAACCTTCGCCCACTTCACCATGTCCGACTTTAACAGTGCATGTGATGCATGTGGTTCTCCGTATCCGCTTCTTTTTTTCTCCTCCAGGCGTGAACTAACAGCTTTCCAGGCTGATGTCAAGGCAGGCCGTGCTATCTTATCCTTTCTGTGCCGATGTTCTGACACTTGGAGACAATTCGCATGCAGGGGTTCTGGCTTGCCTATGCTTGCCTTAATATCCATCCTAAGCCGTGAGAACGCTAGCCCAGCTCAAACTTTGTGGCACCCATTCGGGACTCGGAGGAACATAGGACCTATATGGACCCGTGGAAAGGAATGGAAAGGACTTGTGCGTTGAACTGGTTGAACCTTGGCGACAGGTCTTGGTGGGGAGCGGACTGGACCGGTTGCTGTCCCACGGCCACTTTCAGAAGGCCTGCATGAAGAACTTGAGCACTAATTAGTCAATATTAGTCACTAATTATTCAATTATGAACCGTAGAAATTTACAGTCCATTCCTCACCGTTGTGGCGAAGCCGGCATAGAAAGAGAGAGAGAGAGAGACAGATTTATTTATCAAAGGAAGTTGAGAAGCAATCTTCCGAGTTACAAATGACTGGAAATCAAAAACAATACATCACATGACAATGCATCACACAACAATACATCAATACATCACATAACAATACCGTATAGACAATACATCAATAATACATCACATAACAATACATCACACAATTATAATAAAACATCACATAACGATACATCACACAACAATACATCACATAACAATAGATCACATAGCAAAACATCAAATGACAATACATTACATAACAATACACCACATAACAAAACATCACACAATAATACATCACATAACGATACATCACACAACAATACATCACATAACAATACATCACACAACAATACATCACATAACAATACATAACATAACAATACATCAGACAACAATACATCACACAACAGTACATCACACAACAATACATCACATAAAAATACATCACACAGCAATACAACACACAACAATACATCACACAACAGTACATCACACAACAATACATCACATAACAATACATCACACAACAATACATGACACAACAGTACATCACACAACAATACATCGCACAACAATACATCACACAACAATACATCACATAACAATACATAACATAACAATACATCAGACAACAATACATCACACAACAGTACATCACACAACAATACATCACATAAAAATACATCACACAGCAATACAACACACAACAATACATCACACAACAGTACATCACACAACAATACATCACATAACAATACATCACACTGCAATACGTCACACAACAATACATCACACAACAATACATCACACAACAATACATCACACAACAATACATCACGCAGCAATACGTTACATAACAATACATCACACAGCAATACGTCACACAACAATACATCACACAACAATACATCACGCCACAATACATCACATAACAATACATCACACAGCAATACGTCACATAACAATACATCACACAACAATACATCACACAACAATACATCACACAACAATACATCACATAACAATACATCACACAGCAATACGTCACATAACAATACATCACACAACAATACATCACACAACAATACATCACACAACAATACATCACATAACAATACATCACACAGCAATACATCACATAACAATACATCACACAACAATACGTCACATAACAATACATCACACAACAATACATCACACAACAATACATCACACAACAATACATCACATAACAATACATCACACAGCAATACGTCACATAACAATACATCACACAACAATACATCACACAACAATACATCACACAACAATACATCACATAACAATACATCACACAGCAATACATCACATAACAATACATCACACAGCAATACGTCACATAACAATACATGACATAAACGAAAGGTGGTGACTGAGGGAAGTGACGAAAGAGGGGCTTGCAGATCGCAGTGGAATGGCTGCACGATTGTTGTCGCGTTTTGTTGCCATGTGTGTCGAGACATGCGGGTTAAACACGTGATGCTGCAAAACGCATTCTAATGGCTGCATGACTGTTGCATGGGGTTTGTTTTGGGGAGGAACCGGAGCACAAAACGTTGTGTTTTTCCGTGTGATGAAGAGGCTGCAGGCGGCGATGAAGAGTACCATGTGTGTGCGGCGGTTGCGGTTTGGATCGTTTCGAGCGTAATCATGGCGTAATCGGTTCCTCCTTGGTGTTCTGCAACGCGGGGATGCAAATCGCATTGAAATGGCTGCATGGATGTGTACGTGGTGCTGCAAAACGCATTGTAATGGCTGCATGACTGTTGCATGGGACTTGTGTTGGAGAGGAAGCTGGAGCAAACCTTGCATTTTTCTGTGTAAAGTGGCTGCAGCCGGCGATGACAGGTACCTTGTGTGTGGGGCGGTTGCGGTTTGGATTGTTTGGAGCGTAATCGGTTCCTGCTCTGTGTTCTGCAACGAGTGGTTGGTCGTGTGTGCGTATTTCTTTGCACTTCTTGAATCTCTGGTTGCAGATCGCAGTGTGACGGCTGCATGATTGTTGTCATGCTCTGTTTCCATGTGCGTAGATACATGCGGGTTAGCCACGTGATGTTGCCAGACGCATTGTAGTGGCTGCGTCTTTTGCAGCTGCGCGTCGTCAATCGTATTGGAGTGGCTGCAGCAAGGCTGCGATAGTAATTTGTCAGCAGATTTTCTCAATTTAGCGCGGGTGATTTTCCTGGTAAAATTTCTTTTAAAAAGTGCTTCAAAATCGTGTTTTTTTTCTTTGGCGCTGAGATCCGGTTTTGGAGCTGCAATTTCTGCTGTCATTATGTATAAGAAAGCTTCTCTGTCTAGAAACTTCTTTGTGTAAAAGCTCGCTTTTGTGCAAGCTTTGTAGTACAAAGTAGTACTGGGAAGTGCTTTGTGCAAGCTTTGTAGTACAAAGTCGTACTGGGAAGTGCTGTGTGCAAGCTTTGTAGTACATAGATGTACATAGTCGTACTGGGACGTGCTTTGTGCAAACTTTTTAGTACAAAGTAGGATTGGGGAGTACTTTGTGCAAGCTTTGTAGCACAAAGTGGTACTTGGGAGTGCTTTGTGCAAGGTTTGTAGTGCAAAGTAGTATAGTACTGGGAAGTACTTTGTGCAAAGCTTTGTAGTACAAAGTAGAACTGGGAAGTGCTTTGTGCAAGGTTTGTAGTGCAAAGTAGTATAGTACTGGGAAGTACTTTGTGCAAAGCTTTGTAGTACAAAGTAGAACTGGGAAGTGCTTTGTGCAAGTTTTGTAATACAAAGTAGTACTGGGGAGTACTTTGTGCAAGCTTTGTAGTACAAAGTAGCACAAAGTAGCACTGGGACTGGGGAGTTCTTCGTGCAAGCTTTGTAGTACAAAGTAGTACCGGGAAGTACTTTATGCAAGTCTCGCGGTACAAAGTAGTACTGGGAAGTGCTTTGTGCAAGCTTTGTGGTACAAAGTATTTTGGGAAGACTTTTCTGTGTAAATGCATCTGTGTCTCAAGCTTTTGTGCGCAAAAGCTTTCTGCGCCCATTGTTTTTTTGTGCAAGAGACTTCTCTCTGACAGTAAGAGCTTTCTGGCGTGCAGAACAGCTGAGATGAGTTGAGACGAACTTCGAGGAGATGAGAAGGGTTGATCAGTGCTCGGATGAGATGAAAACAGTTGAGAAGAACTTACTTAGATGACATGTGAGAAGAGATGGGATGAGATGAGAAGAGTTGAGATGAGGTGAGAAGAACTCACATGATTTGATATGAGATGAAGTGTCGAGTGTGAAGTGCAAGTGTGAAGTGTGAAGTGCGGGGTGTGAAGCGTGCACTGTGACGTGTGAAGAAAGTATATATTTTCTTGGCGTTGCACTTCGCCGGGGTTGCGCGCAGGTCATTTGTCTTGGACAACAGCAGCGCAACAGGTTCGCACAAAGCACGCACGCACAGGCCTGGCTGGCGCACGGCGCATGCAAGTTTTATAGATGGAAAAGGTCTTATAGTATAGCCCTAAGGCAACTTCCGCCCCGCCTCGTGCGGGCACTACTCGTAAATCATATGCAATCGACTCACGTGAAATTTCTAAACTTCTTGGTCAGAGTTCAGGCGTCGTCACCAGAGTGCTCAGAGCCAGGCAGCCAAAAGCAAACAGGACGCGAAGGAGACGGTTGAAAGTCTCACGACAGAAATCCGGTTCCTTGCCTCAGTGACTGACATGACTGACATGCAAGTGCTGCTGTCCTTGCAACGTGCCTTTTATATCCTTTTATATCCTTTTTTCCTGCTGCCATTTACGTATTACATGCGGATTACGAATGCGGCATTTGCCAACCGTGTAGGGTGGAGAAGGAGCAACGCACCCAAGAATCCTTGAACTTCAGCTATGAGTGGGCCAACTCAGATTGTCGGCAAGTCTTCTTGCCCACAGATATCCGAAGCTAGGATGTCGAGAAAGGTCTGTGGTTTGTCCACACTAAGGCAGGATCGCTACATGTCACGCACAGCGCAGCTGCAAGCATCGCTTGCAAGAGACTTGAGCTCTTTAGCATCTCAACTTCAGGCATGACCAGGGGGTACTTTTTAGATTGTTTCAGGGAAAGGTGAGGGTGAATTGAGCACATTAAGGCTGCCGCGCCAATGGTCCACATCACATGATGGCTCTGTGTGCTTCGGTCGTCCAATGTTGTCCAGGCATGGGAGCGAAAGAAGGCCGCAGACCACCAGGCCAGTGACCCGGTCCGGATCAGCCAATGAAAGGGTTTGGATGCTTGTATACATGTTTTTCAAAGTTTTCTTGATGTGTTTTTTTCACATTTTTTTTTCTTTCTGTGCCAGATTTGCTGTAGATTGAGTGTCGTCTCGCAGTGCTTCATTTGCCGGTTGGAGGCGTGGAAGGAAGAAGAGGATCAGTTGCTGAGGCAGACAGTGCCAGACAGTGCCAGACAGTGCCAGACAGTGCCAGACAGTGCCAGACAGTGCCAGTGTTGTTAGAATCAACTTATATAGAATCAACCAGCTTAGCTAGATAACTTATACATTATATACATAAGGCCCTTGAGACATTTTGAGACAATTTGGGAGATGTTGTGCATCACTTAGTCAGTGCATTGAGCTCGACAACCGGCTCTTCTTATCAGCACCCTAAAGGCAATGTGAAGAGGCTTCGCAGAAGAAGCAGCAGAAAGAGGAGGACTGGGTGCATAGAGAGCACAGAGTTTGCAAGAACTTCCAATGTGATGGCTGCAATGGCATCGTTAAACTTTATTTCTCTCGCTGCTGGAATGGAATTTATTTTGCTGTTGTCATTGGTCGGTGTCTAGAATCCAGCTTATTTGTTTCTTGCAGAAGGCTTTGATTGATTCAAAAATGCACAGTACAGTGCATCCACGAGAGCTGTGGTAGGACACAATGCGCATTCAAGCGAAGCAGGCTGGGGAGCTCAAGATGGTTTGCCTGCCTCAAGGGTGAAGACATGGCGGCAGATTGGTGCCCTAGGCAGCAACATGTGTGCAGATTCTTTTAAGCGGTCAGGGCATTCAGTAGCAGATCCATGTTGTGATTCCTAAGAGAGAAATCATTTCTGTTGCATAGCTGCTTGTCCGAGCCCATGGAGCTAAGTCGGCCTTGCTGTTTGCCTCAACACAACCAGGAAGAGATGCAAAAGCAGATGGGTCTGGCTGAAGAGTCCTTACAAGATGTGCGGAAGGTGTGCAGAGCATTGCAGAGCTGAAGCCATGTCGCTTGACTTCTGCTGCAAGCCGTTTGTATAGTTTATTGTTTGGATAGAAAATTGCAACCAATTGCGTTCGGCGTTTTTTTTTTTGTAAGTAAGTCTAGTAAGTCTTAGATTTCGGATGGTTTAGTCTAGTTGGGCAAGGCGATTTCCAGCTTGCCCTGTTACCAGCCTACTTGGGCACTTGGATCACGATGTCATGGGAGGAAATCCAACAGCTGAAGAGCCAGTTCCAGCAGTCCGATGCGGCGCTGTTCGCTGCCAGATCCAGCTAGGGCATCTCAGGGACAGCACAAAAGGCCATGACATGCCATGAGCCAAATTCTGTGTTTTGTGTGTTTTGATCTGTTTTTTGATCATGAGCATTTCAGTCTTCCAGCGAAAAACAACCAGAAGATACCCAGGCACGCAGCACTTGAATCAGCAGATCGTCCAGATGGAAGAGGCTTCTCTGAGTGGAGGAAATGGCTTTCAGTTTCGTCTCATCGGCCATTTGTTGAAGTCTGTAGTGACACCATGATATGAGTGAAAAGTCTGAGACATCACAATGAAGAGTTGCCAGTGCGGGATCATTGACGTTGCTACCAGGTGTTGAAGCGTGCTAGCAAGGCATGGGGTGCAGAGATATTGTGGAGTTACAGTGGGTAGTGAGCTGCTGTGCCAGAGCGTAGGATTTGGTGTTGCACCTTTTGCGTACGTAAGAACCACAAAAACTATCAAAAACTCAAGCACAAACAGTGTTGCACTGTGCTGCTTGAATTACCTGGGCGCAGGCACTCTTTGCATCTCTTTGATGAAAACCCCAAGTTTGATAGGTTCAGAGTTCAGAGTTAAAGAAGTACGGATGACTTGCTCAAGCATCCTAGAGTCCTAGAGTTCTACAGCGATGGATGCATGTTACGAAGAAAGTGATGGCCATGGCTTGCTAGGCCTTTCACCTTTTTGCTACACATAAGAAGAGGAACGAATCGAGCGGCCAGGCTGAAATGGACACACTGCTGCAAGATGCGGAGCGCCATGCAGCTTTGTTTGCAACGGCAGGCATTCTCTTCCAGTGGAAAGATGAGCCTCCACAGAAGCCCATAGAATTTACCAAAGAAATTTTGAAGCCTTACAGTTCGATGCTGTTTGACGCTCTTCATTTTCAACAGGCTGATTGCCAGAGGCGCGCAACCTGGGACCGGCTGAGGCTGGCAAGCTTGCCCAGCTCCGCACTTTGGAGGCAGAGGCAATCAGACAACACCTGCAGGAGACATGCATTTCGCATGGGCATTTGGGGGTTGCGGGTTGCTCCTGCATCTCCTGCATCTCCTGCATCTCCTGCATCTCCTGCATCTCCTGCATCTCCTGCATCTCCTGCATCTCCTGCATCTCCTGCATCTCCTGCATCTCCTGCATCTTGCATTTTGAAAAAGTGACTTGGACATACTTGGACCTGCACTTCGCAGCATCCATTCAGGTACTTCCCCTTTAAGAGACAGGTCCCTCACAGGCATTCTGACCATGCAGCCTCACATGCACCAGGACTTGGAAATGAAGGTTAGAGAAGAGGAGCAGGCAGGAGCAACACCCTTGGCATTGTTGAGGTAACGAGCTCGGATAATCTTTGATCAACTGGCATTTGCTGGAGGTCCTGCAGTCCATTGATGGGGAAGTTGGCAAGGCTGGTGCGCTTCACTGGCGATCGCAGCACCTGAGAATTTATTATAATTTATTTCTCCTTTGATTCGACAATTCCTTCTTTCCCTAAGTTGCGACCTCCCATTTCTATCAAAAGAAAGTGCCAGAAATCTTCTGCCAGGAGGTCCAGAACTGCGATGGGTTGACTGGCCTGGGGGCCTAGTCGGTGGATGTCGGTGGCAATTCTGAAGTTTTAAGGTATGGTAGGGTCATGTAGAGTCCAAACTCATTGTGTCCTGCAGTGCTACACGGTTCGGCCTTCTGAGGTGAGATCTCCCAGGTGCGAACGCAAGTGGATGATCTGCAGGAGTGGCGGGGCATTGGCTCATTCGATGCTCATTGATGCTCATCGATGCTCATCGATGCTCATCGATGCTCATCGATGCTCATAAGTTTCAACTTTCAGCATATGTTTATGGTTGTTATGGTTGTTTATTTTATTTTTATTTCACAGTGCGGACCGAGCAGCGGTCACCAGGACCAACGACGAAGCCTGGAGGACCGTTCTGAAAGGGCCGGGGGCCGTTACCGCCTTGCACGCACGGTTCTGGCACTTTGTTCTCGCGCTGGCATTCTGCATTCCTTTTGGACATCTCCTGGCCGATGTTGGCTCCAGTTTTAGTATTATACAAAGGGCATCAATGACACCATCATGTCAGCGTCTCATAGCGTCTCTGTGGTCACCAGGTGCCACTATCGTCCCAAATCAAAAGGTCTCGCCAACAAATCAACACAAACGCTTGGATGTCATATCGTGCGATTGCAAGCCATTCCAGCGAAATGCTGAGGTGAACCCAGTAGAACATGTACTGTAAAATTCATTAAAATTCAATATTGCCATGAATCACTGTTCCACACACACATATATATATACATATTATTTATATATACCATTTCCTAAGTGACTAGCCTTCAGGAATTTCAGATTGACAACGATGCACAAAAACGAAGTGAGAACCAACAGCTTCGCATAGCTTCACAATGGGCGGTTGGCGCAATGTCCTGGATGCCTTCCACCAGCTGCCCTACGATGAGCAGAGATTGATGTTGGAGGAACTGTCCAACAGCAGGGCAGATCTGCACATAGATGTCGCTTTGGAGACTTGGTATCTTGGTGCAAATGACTGTTGTTCATCATGAGCGTCAAGTATGTTTCTTGTAGGAGCATTTTGCTCCTGGTTGGTTTCGGTGGTCCGAAGCAAACAGCAAACGGCAAACACAAACCAAACTGATTTGCATTGATTTGAATCTCCAGGGTCGGCTTTCCCAGAGCAAATCAAGGTGCGATCAAGACTTCGTTCCTGCTTGCAGCTCGCAGCGACCCAAACGGCGGTCGTGGAGTGTGCCACTGCGCTGGGGCGCCAGTGAGGATGTCCGCGACACGTCGGTGACAGGATGTCCGTGGTGCCGACGGCCAGTGACAATCAATGCTGTCAACAGAGGCCAAGGGGATCAAGGGGATCAAGGTGCTAAAGTACAGAAAAGCTTGGATGCTGACGATGCTGGCACTGGTCAATTTGCCTATACCACCCTCTTGCGCCTCGCCGAACGTCACGATTTAAAGTCCGGTCAGTTCGCAGCTAATGTGGGCCTTTATTTATGTACAGGTCTTCCACAGCGACTTTGGTGCTGTCCTGCTATGTTCTGCTACATTCTGCTACCGCGTTTCATTGATCACAATAAAAGTGGGTTCCATGAAATAGGATGTGTGCATCAGCTTCATGACCTCAGATTAAATGCACCTTTCAATCGGCATTTGGATGCGCATGTTTGGACTGTGGATCTCTTTTCGATCAGGGTAGTTGGTTTTGGCACATGAATGCTTGTGGCCAAGGTACGGACCGCAGTGTCACGACTACTTCTTGGGGGCTTTGGTTCTGGGTGAAGGACTTCAGCGTTTCGGCGGTGGCATCACGTCATTGCTGCTCCACACTGCGGATGTGCCACAGAGCTATTTGCAAGCTCTCGCAGCCGCTGGATGGGTGTGCAGACAGGCAGTGGTCACCTCAAATTTTAATTAAATATATTTAAATCATCATATATCATCATCTTCAAAAACTGTTCCCATGGACCCCTTGGGACAATCCAAGGTGTGTGATTGGTCCTATGAAATTTAGTCAAAGTGGAGCCGGTTCAGGTCAACATACCTGGACCTTGGACCGTCTTGGACCCATGACATATTTTGAAGCCAAACTGCTTGCAGTGTCTTTTTTTGTTGAAGGATCTTTTGAAGATATTGACATATGATTGATGAAATAGTAATGACAGATTAGTATGATATATGATTTACGATATGATCTGATATGACATGACCTGACATGATGTGATGTGATATATCCTGTCCGGTAGAGCTGAGATTCCAACTGTCAGGTGGAATATTTGACCAAAGTGGCATGGTCACTCTTCAAGAATTGGAAGGGAAGCCGCTTCATCGATGTTTTCACGAAGCTCAGGGTACTGGAACAAGAGGACTTTGAGAAGGTCCTGTTCCTGGATTTGGATCTCTTGGTGCGTGACTGGTCTCACTATCGTTCACTATCTATATCTATATCTATATATATATATTATAGATAGAGTCCTTTTCATTCCTCAGAGATGTTGCTATTGGACTTCTTGCATTCTTGCTTGCTGTATATATTGATTTTGCCAAAGCTAAGCTGGATTTTCTTCTTCCAATACTTGACTGCTCCATATGCATTTTGGAGAGCTTGAGGAAGTGGCTTTGCTTGGTACGTTTGTTGATGCTGGTACGGTAGGTCTGAAACCCTGACGTTCTTAGATCAATTTTCAATTTGTTGAAAAAAGTATTGCATATGCAGTCCAGTGTGCACCACCAGGTGACACCGGCGCATCCTTAGCCAAGCTCTTCGAGTTGCGTACGCCGGCGGCCATGAAACGTGGTGCACCCATTCCGTCGCACGGTGCTGCGGTGCCTTACAGCTGGATCTGGGGCCACCCGACGCGGCGACAGGGAGATTTGCTTCCGCAGCATCAGCAGGCCTCTGGAATCAACGCTGGGGTCATGCTCTTGAAGCCGGACAAGGTGGATGTACCAATGATGTGTCTTGAAAGTGTACGATATGTACCAAACTAGTTTCGATATGTTTAGATGCATCTTGAACTTGATTTTCTTGGTAGGTTTGATGTGAAGTTCAAGTTCAAGTATATGGTTGGTCGGCAATTCCTGCCATCAGGGACAGGGGTAAAGCATCCTAAGACTGTTGACTGGACTGATGGGAGGCTGTCTTGAATGAGATGATCTCGGAAGTGCATGACTACGACCACCCCCAGCACTATCGCACCTATATGCCTGAGCAGGAGTACATCTCCCGTTTCTATGGCACCTTTGACCAGTGGACCCATCTGTCGTGCAACTTCAACTTCGAGATTGACAAGGATGTCGCTTGGTGGGTAATGTACGTTTTTGACTTGGTCTGGAGTCAGCAATAAGGATGGTAGTCAACCATCGCCGTGGAGTGTACACCTCAATGGTATTTTGCAGGGGCTGATTTTCGAGAATTTTGTTCCATGGTAACCATGCTATAGTTATGAATAAGTTATGACCATCCACTTGGTAGAGCCTGGGGATTTGAAACTGATCCCAAGCTTGACATCGCATCCTGATCTTGCAGGAGAGAATCCCTCACGACTTCACGGAGGCACATGAAGCTCACCGACAACTCAGTCAAACCGAGTCAAACCGAGTCAAACCCTTTTTCTTCTTTTTCTTCTTTTTCTTCTTGTGGCGGTGACAGCCAGTGTATCCAGGGTCCATCCTTTCTATCTTTCTAAGATTCTAGCGTAGGAGTTGGAAGAGCATACGATGGCTTTTTGTAGTATGAATTGTGTTTTAAAAAAATGATTTCATGGTTTCTTAGCGTTCATAGTTGATCATAGTTGTTGGTCTGGTTTTAGATGGTCCATCAACATGAACACCTTTTTCCTTTAGATCTTGCACCCGTTGGCTACTAGCAATCGGCCAAGCAACCTCTGATGCTTTCAGGAAGAGATTCGAAATGGTGGAGCAAAAGGTCATAGCGGGGCAGTTGTTCTGCATTTCTCTGGCTGCGGGGTGAAACCCTGGGATTTGATTTTCTCAAGATGCCTGACGGAAAATTCGGCCCATTCAACTTGTTTCAAAGAAGTTGGTCATTGTTTCATGTACTAGACTCACTAGACCAGCTAGAGGGGCAGAAGGAGACGAGTGCTGCAAAGCTGATGATCTGATAATGCAGTAAACCAGAGTAGCATTGAATTTATGTGTTGCTTTCTTTTCTCCCGCACTGGAACAGCAACCATTTGGGTGCGATGCACTGGATGCACTGTCAAGGAGGGGACCTGAACACTCTCAAAGTGCACTCTGTGGAAGACATCGCTTCGTTGTACCAGGAGCTTTCAAAGGCAGGACCACGGGAGTGGCTTGATGGCTACACAGATAAGGAACGGCCACTTAGATGCGCACAAAGCAGCGTTTTGTTTGGAGATGGCGGCCTCAAGACATAATTCTTATTCCGATTGCCTTGAAGCATTCCTGGACGACATACTGGACGACATAGGGTAATTTTTATCGGAGTAAAACTAGTGTGGTTCGGGTTTTCGTCCTTTCCCAGCCTTGGGCTGTGAAAATGTTGTTGATTGTGAGCGACTCATTTGGAGAAATCTTCCAAACTCGACGATTGTCTGGAAATAACAGCTCTGTTTGCTCAGGTTATGGGATGCCATGTTAGAGTGGCTGGTGCAGCTCCAGGACGTTTCTCAGCGGCTGAAGAAGCAAAACATCGATGTGGTGAAACTGCTGTGGGCGCAGGTGCCCGAATTGCCTGACCAGCAGCTGAGCTCTCCTCGCTCTGATTTCACCATGGAAGCCTAGGGGGAAAAAGACTTGCGGCGCGCCAGAAGTGAATGGCAGGAAGAACTATAATTGGCGATGCATGGAAACATTGGAAACATGTGAAGCCAAGATGCAGCAGTCCAAGGAATGCTGCATAATCCTGTATTTCTACCAGTTGCGTCCTTTCCAATGTTGGAACAGGTTTAACGAGTTGATATTCTGCGTGATGTTCCAAAGATGCACTGGCTCTGCGGTATCTGCGATCAGGATCGCCTGGCAGATGCTCGCAGGGAGGGGCTCTTGGAGCAGACCAAGATGCAGGCGCGAGTCATATAATAAGGTCAATATATCATATGATAAAGATAAAAAAGAATAACATAGTATATCTATATACTATAAGATTTATCCTGTATCTATTTTTTACATGTTCATCACGTGCTCATTGCAATCTCTTTTATACTGTGCACAATAAGTGAAGGATGACAAAGGTAGATCAGAACTCTTTGGTAAGTATGTTTGTTGCTATCAGCACGCAGCAATTTCATTTTTGGAGGGGCTGACTCTGTATGACATGTTAGCATTGGTTTTGTCATTTGCTTGTATCGTGGGTTCTGATATCTGTTTCTTCTGGCAATTACAATAATTCACTTGAAAGCACCTGCGCTTTGGATGCAAATCAAATCCATGACAAGCTCCGACATCGGCAGGTTGCCTGTGATCAGATCTCCCTTGACATAGCCGACTTAGAATGGCAGATATGCAGGCTATTTCTGGGTCATTTTGCAGTTCAAACAGTCTGTGACAAGATGCTCATAGCAGAGTGAGTAGCTTTTACTGGGTGTGTGTAGCTGTGCCATGCCGTGCCTCCATTTTAGTCCTGCAGAAGACAAGGAAATACGAATGGAGGTTGTTTGACGAGTTTGACGTTGTTCGCCTACGCCCATGTGAATCGCTGAGAGGCTGGAGGAAAAGATGGAGGTTCTACAGCGCCTGGCAGCTGATGCCGAAGTGCGCGTTGCCACACGACAGAGCCTAGGTCAAAATGAGCTGCGTGCGGCACAGGCGGGGTGAAGCAACTGCTTCATGGGAAGAATGCATCCATGGTCCTAATGGTTTCCTATGGTTTCCTATCTATGAAGATGTTTCGATTGAGTTTGAGTTTCATTTGTCATAACTTGAGCGCATCATGGGTCCTTGAGACGCCATGATGGACAGCTGTTGCAGGAAGAGCTGCAAGCACTGAAGCGCCGTGTGTCACGGACTGCCGAGCTTCAAAGCCAAGTAAAGGCGGAGGCCGCATGATGCCGCGTGGGGTTGGAGAGATGGCCACTGGACACTATCATATTTACACTTCTAAAGGTTATGGAATACATGGTGAGTGCACAAATCAAGATGGAACACTTTATAGATTTTATAAGAGTGTGGGCTCCTTATCGTCCAGCTCTTCAATGGACTCCATTTTGTGATCAGGCCAACACAGGGAAACAGCAGACGGCTGCTCAGGAGGCAAGTGACATTCAAAACACACCGGCAGACATGTCGTGACCGAATACGACCACGTTTGACAACTCCGTGCCACTTGTGAAAACATCTGGCAGTTGGACCTGCAAAAACGCCTAGAGACAGTCGATGCCAAAAAGGGCGAGGACCTGAAAGCGTAAGGATCCCTGGTCGGCTAAAGCGACAGACTTTGACGACAGAAAGTGGGGGGAAAGATGAAGATAGAGGAAACGTTCAGAAAGCGTCTTAAAAGTTTGAGGCTGAAGCTTCAGTTGGTCCATGAGGAGGAGGCAGTGAAGAAGGCCATACTCCTCCGGGACCAGTTTCCATCAGCAGTGGCTGTGAAGCGGATGAATTGTACTAAATTGGATGCAGTTTGACGTTACTCAAAAGTATACACATATCATATATATATACAATACAGATATACATATTGCACTGACAGCTTGTTGTTTGATTTGCTGATGCACCGAAGCGCCTGGCTGGAACTGTCTGCGGGCACATGATCCCACAAGATCAACTTCCCACGATTAGGCACAGAAGGACCTACAACAGGCAACGGGAGAAGGATCCGAGCAGTCCGAAGCTGAGGAAACACCAGTCGTGGCTGTGACTTTGAATCTCGTGTCAATCCTCTACGAAATGAGAAAGGACGTCATGCCGATCGGAGAACACAAAGCCCTAAGCGTTCATTGTCCAAGTATATCAAGTATGTTTTGAGAGCTTCCATTCATCAGCACATACCGATTAAGCCAGAATCTGCTGTGAATCTAGCCCAAACGCCGAGGCTGAAGAGAGCCCAGGAGCAGCTGCAGCTGCTGAGTCACGCCTATGAATGCCTTCCATTACGAAATGCTGTGAGGGAATCGTTCCAAAATTCAGGATTTGCCTTTCACATATTATGGCATGCTTCACAATGGTTTTCAGATGTTTCAGCTAAAGATTCATTTTTTTAGATTTGTTGCTCTGACAGCTGTCAGGAGCAGGGTCGTGCAAAATTGCGAGCTGCTCAAGAGGCTAAACTGACAGCCGAGGACTTGCTCAACTTTGAAGGGTCTTGCCATGGGGCATGTGAATTCCGCCATATTCTGACTGACCTTGCTTCTTACGATTCTTACGTCACCAATGACTGACCAAAAAATGACCTTTGCAGAAGTGTCCCATGTGTCCCTTTGCGGCAGGACACTCGCCGCGCCGAGCTGAAGCTCAACAGTGATGCAACTTGGTGCCAACATGCGGAGCCTAGTGTCAGTCTGCATTCTTATGCTATGTTTTGAGAAGCATGAGTACATTGAGGTACATTGAGATACATTGAGATACATTGAGATACATTGAGATACATTGAGATACATTGAGTACATCATGACTCATTACAATAAAGAATCATAGTAAGCCTTACGAACCAAAATCAGAGGAGGTTTGAAGATCTCAGCTCCGTACGGATACTGAGGCCTTGGCAGCGCAACAGCGGCACATGCAAAACCTCGAGCAGAAAACTGGTACTTTGAGGCACCGAAAACTGCCAGGACAGACAGAGGACCTGCCACACATTGGGGTTAGATTTGAACACGGACACAACTGCGCATGAAATTGATACTTACGACATTTCTGCAGAGGGAACGTTTGCTCAAAGACTGTTGCTGCTGTTTGCAGCATTTGAGTGGATCGAAGACATTGATGATTGATAATGATTCTATATCATGAGAAATGCCCAGATTTGAGGAGCTTAGAGATGCTTAGAGGTTTCTCTCAACTCCCCATGGTTTGGATGACCAGTTGAGGCAGCGCTTGCTTCAGAACGAGCAGCACCTTGGGTGGCTGCATCAGCAACTGCAGCTGGAGGATTACACACATGCAGACGTAGGAGAAAGATGCAACACAAAGGAAGCATGTCTATACTGGATTCGTTTTCTTTAAGCAACTCACCTTTCATGCCTTCTCACATCGCAAGATCCTTTTATCATATCCTTAGGATCTTGTGAAACGTTTGATGTTGTCTTTCATCATTTATCACCTATTTCTACCATTTCTGACTATAACTTTGATAAGATGGCCACTGGACCTTTTTCCAACAGACAGTCTTGGCCGAACCATAGCCAGCTGTTTTGTCCAGGAGACCAAGGCAACGACTCAGATGAAGGTGGAGGCATGTACCAACCCTTCTTATGACACATGGTGATAGCGCGCTGTCACAGGAATGAAGAAAGGAAGCAACGACGCACCGTGTTGCTGTTTGTTCGATTTCGTTTGTCCTTTTCAGGTGGGCGCACTTGACAGCTCTATTCACAAGGCGCTTGATTTTTTTGTTTGGACGGCTTCTGCCCATAAGGATCATAAAGGGGGATGGAAAAATTGTTGGACAAGCCCTGGCAGGCGATGGGAGAAGAGGCAACTTTGACGAAGCAGTTGGAGGCGTCCCTTGCCATCAGCAACGCCTGGTCCAACAAAGACTTCCAGTGGATCTAGGCTGACTGAGACTCCCCATAAATCTGAAGGGAGGCTGGTGGCAACGCCCCTGGCTTTGAGCCCCTGAAATCGGGAGCATTGTTGGGCCAGACAAACACTTATATATACTTATTATACTTATACGGGTGTTTGGCAGGAAGTGGTGAGGAAAAAGGAGGAGCATCCACTGTTGACACAGGCCTGGCAATGTCAAGTCAAAAAATAATTGACATTCTTTGGACATGCGTTTGTGCAATTAAGATCGTAAGGTCGTTCAGACTCTGGTTCTTGTGGAATTGTAGTAGTGGATGGGTCAGAGTGAGGGTCACATTGAACGTCACCACAATGAAACACATTGGCGATTGAAAGCATACGTCTCCTGAGCGAGTTGTTCTCCGATTTCTCCTGTCGCTTAGTATTTGCACAAAGGACAACTGAAGCGCAAAATCATACAAAGCAAGTCAAACCTCAGAAAGTTACATCAAATTTGTTCGGACATTTTTTCTGGAAGATATTTCCGACTTATTCTGGTCATCCCGTCACCCCCCTTCAACATCCTTCAACCAAGCTACGATCACCAAGCCCACCAAGCCCTTCGGCAAGGCGCCTTTCCCGGCGGAACCTGTGGCCCTGGCAGCTCAAGAGCCCAGCTTCTGCAGTCCAGAGAGTCCTTGGAGGTGGAGACAGCGATAGCAAACTGCTGAAACTGAAACGGAGATGATCGGATGATGAGATGATGAGATGATGAGATATGGCAATCACCTGAAACTTGAGTTCTCAGCATTGGAATAGATTCAATAGATATCATCCGAATATCAGTTCATATGGATTCATCTGGGAAAGGGATCTGAGATGGTCTGAGTCTGATGGACCCTTTCCAAGCTTTCTCGGCGGACGACAGGCCGAGCTGGTCAGAGAATGCTGCAGACCTTGCCAACTTCAATTTGCTGCAAAACAAGTCTCGTCCCGAGATCCGGTGGAGAGATGTGGAGAGACCTTGTAGCCTTAGAATGTCTTAGAATGTCTTAGAATGTCTTAGAATGTCTTAGAATGTCTTAGATCCTGTGGGCCGTTTCAAAAGTGCTCAAGAGTCAAAGTCAGCGTCAGTGTCCTTTGTGTTTCTTTCTGGTCGTTCGGTCATGGAGTCGAGATCGCGAGATCGTGAATGCGCAAGAGTTGTTTTAATTTGAACAGATTGAAAATTCACCCGACATGTTGATCATGTTACGATGATTCTTTACGCGTTGCTATGGGGATGCTCAAATCCAAAGCATGTTCAATGCCAGGTGATTGTTGCGGGTATTATATATATAGTTATATAATAAGTTTTATAATTAAGTTCTATAATTATTTTCAGGGTATATATTATACTTAAAATACATAACACACACATATACATACACACACATATATATATACACACAATTTAATCATATTTATTCAATCTTAGCACATACATCCTTTGCTCATCGGAACAGTGTGAAAAAGTAATCTTGATGCTGGTGGTGTTCGAGGTTGGAAGGTCACATTGCTCGCTTGCAGCGGCACACGGAAGAGCTGCGCAACAGTCTGGAGGGCGCACAGCGCACACGGGAGGCGCAATATTTTGGACACCTTTGGACAGGGTGATTTGAGTATTACTTTTGGGAGATTCTTTTTGTGATTCTTTGTGATTTGAATTGCAAATGATCGCCTTGACATACCATGGCACTTTGGAATCACGGTGCAATGCTGGAAGGGTGGGAAAGATGGGAGAGAAACTGTCGGCCTGTCGGCCTCACATTGTTTTCCCGATGCCATTTCCGAGTTTGTTTGCCAACGAGCCGTTGTTTTCTCTACATTCTACATCAGGCCATGCCACAGTGCTTCAAATGTGGCACAACTGCGAATGTTGGCGAAGTCGCAGTATGGGACAATCAGCAGTGGATCTGGGTGCGGGATGCCATTGATCAATGGGATCCAGCATGGAAACGCTGGGAACAGAGACCTGAAGCCATATGGAATCTTCCAAGTAGCACAGTGGAAGCCTGTGATATTTTTTGTGCAAGGTGCTGGAAAGACTGGGGGCGGCATATCAAACCTGGAAGCAAGTATGCACTGAGCAAGGCTTGTGAGGAGCTGGCCGTCCGAGTTGGCGTGGAGTTTGTGGATTCAAATTCTGGCAATCCTTTTTATTGCCGACCCTGCAAGGTATTTCACAACCACGGTGCATCTTCTCTGGAGAAACATTTGCTGGAACGCCACAGTGATCAAGTGTGCGCGGCTCTCAAAGCTCGCTTGCTCCACAAAAGGAAGGCCGATGCTGTGACAGAAGATTTTATCCCACGCACTCTCTACGTCTCATGCAGCCGGTCCCTGATTGCAGGAAAGTACACAGTGAAGAGCTGGCATCATGGCAAGCCAGTCTACCAGAAGGCAGATCAGGATGGCAGTGACATTAATGTTCTCATCTACTATTGGGACAACCGAGATGGGGAAAGGTTTCATGGCTGGTGGTTCTCTCCAAGAGAAGGGAGCCGCGAAGCATGGGCCCACAACTCCTCCAATCTCGGCCGGGAGGACTTGACAGTGCCCACATCTGGATGGATGTGTCCGCGGGATGGAGAGGTGGACCAGACTCTAAAGATCACAACTCATGAAGAGAATGAAGACACGGACGGGCAGAAGGATACCGACTTCGAACTTCGGTGGGAGTTTCTGGCTAGTGCTGATGGAGAGAAAGATGATTGGCAACCTGCCAGCAAGAATATAAATGATGCACTTGAAAGGCGCTGGAAACAAGGCTGGCATGGTGACAATGGCACTGATATCTTTCAAATCCAATCGAATGGCTACACTTACAACATCGATTGCCGATGCATGGTGCAGTGGAACGTGAAGACGAACCGTAGGCGAGAGATCAGGAGGGGCGAGGCCAAGCCTGACGTCATGGTTTTGCTGCCCAAACTGGCTGAGAAAGATGCTGAAGTGGAACGACTCCAGAACAAAAGGAACCGCCTCGTGGAGGAGAAGAACGACTTGATGGCCAAGATAGCGCAGTTGGAGTTGCTTGGTGCTACCAATTGGCAGAGGTTCGACGAGGTTGTTGCATGCAATTTTCTTTGCTGTTCGTTGCCCTGCCTGGCTTCCATTTCGAGGGCAGTTTCTTGTACTGCACTGCAAACAGAATATCACAGCCATAGCCCACATTTAGCCCATATCATGATCATCGCATCATCCTCCGCATCATATCATCTTCATCATCGGCGGCCACATCCTCGTCCTTATCCTGCTCTGCTCCCTGCTCCGTGCACCATGCACCGTCCACCCTGCACCCTGCACCCAACATCCTCGTCACCATCACCACTGTCGTCATCATCGTCATCATGATCATCGTCATCATCGTCATCATCATGATCATCACCAGACTGGTCCTGATAATGGCCTCTCTATTTTGCCGAGTCTCATCCACATGAGCTACAGTACATGCCATGAATGTTGCCCCTGCGTTCATGAAAAAAGTGAGGGGCCGAGCCTGACAGGCACCAACCAGAAACTATTTATGTTTTTTTCGGCACTCCCTTTCACCTTCTATCACAACTACATGCCTTCGTTCCCAAAGCTTGGTCTCAGGGAAGGCCGAATTTTCTGGGGGAGGGGTTAAAAACAAATTTTTCCGGATCAAGAAAAAATCCGGATCAAGAAAAAAAAATCGGATCAAAAAAAAACGGTATAAAAACAATAGCAACTAGTAGGAGGGAAGGAAAGGAAAAGGAAAAGGAAAGAAAAGGAAAGGAAAGGAAGGGAAGGGGAGGGAAGGAAGGAAGGAAGGAAGGAAGGACGGACGGAAGGAGGGGAAGGAAAGGAAAAGGAAAAGGAAAGAAAAGGAAAGGAAAGGAAGGGAAGGGGAGGGAAGGAAGGAAGGAAGGAAGGAAGGACGGACGGAAGGAAGGAAGGACGGACGGACGGAAGGAAGGAAGGGAAGCAAGGAAGGAAGTTTTGTTGTGCAGAACAAGCACCCTGAAAACCATGTAAAATTATTGAAACCATGGACAAATCAATAAGGTATTCATGTATAATTAAATGCATCCATGTAAGTATAGCCATTTACATGTACATGTTGTATCCCCAAATGAACCCTAAACAAAACCTAAACGTAGCCTAAACCAACCCTACCAACCTTAAATAGACCCTAAGCTAGCAGCAGACATCCCTGAATACCATATGTAACCTACAGCATTTCACGGGAGAACAGGTATAGTCATTCTGCTTTGGGGGGAGGCGCTGCGCCCTCCCCCCAATCCCCCCATCCCGTTTTTTTTAAAAAATCTTAATCCAAGTTTGCACACTTGTAAACACACTACTGTACCCATATGTAAATATATTAATATATATTAATATATATATATATGCAAAATGCAGCGGAGTTGGGCTCTTTTCCTGAAACCCTAGGGGCGGTCTTGATCATGAATATTGCCGTGGAATGATCGGAATTTCTCAAATTCGCACAGGTACCCAACAATTTTATTGGGTTAAAATCATGGAACGCAAAACTGTGGCAGGGGTTAAATAAAACAACAGCGGAACCACACGGGCCCCAATCAACTGGAAACAGCTCCTTCCTCGGTGATGTCGTTGGTTTGTTGTAAGTTTTGTGATTGTGTGTCAGTGTGTGCGCCCAGACCCATCTTGGTCCGTTTCTTCCCAGACATCATTGCCTCATCATACACTACTTTCCATCGGAAATTCATTTTGACATACAGCATCATTTGGGATTTCTCATGAGGTTTTGTCAAACTGTTGGACAACATAGCATTTCCATTTACCCAAAGTAGTTGACCTTGTCCTCGCTCCAAGTTCTCTCTCAAACTTAAAGCCTCGATGTCAGAACGCTTCTCAGCGCCCTTAATCACCGGTGTTGCCCTGTTCATCTTGTCGTACAGGTTCCTCGCATCAGTGATGACAAACCCTGGGGTAGGAATGGCTGCTGCGTCCACATTTCTTGTATCAATAGGAAAACCTCGCATCTCATTCCAAAGAACTCTTAAATATGTCAAATCATCTTCTCCATTCAAACTTGCCATAGTTTCTGCACATGCCGGTGATCGGCAAGTCCTCTCAATCTTGCCGGACCTCCAATAAATAGGAGTTACATCAGTTTCTTGGCCTTGTCGCAATTTGGAGTCTGTCATGCCAATGAAAATACCTTCAGTGCTGTCCTTGCCGTTTGGTCGATTTGCCCAAGCAGCATCTGTCCATGCTGCCAACTCCAGTGTCTCATGTTCAGGGAAAGGATGTATTTTGTATTTCAAATGCTTCCACTTTTTAACATCCCGAACCAGTTTGTTGGCTTTGTTAATGTCACTCACAGTGCTCACAGGAATGCTGGTAATCAGAAAATTCACATCCACTGAAAAAAGAAAACAAGTTTCACCGCATAACCATGACAAACTGCCCAATAAACCACGAAGTGCTCGTTTTTCGTCATCTGTTGTCTGAAGTTCTTCATGTCGAGATCGATCACGTGAAATGCTAATCTCTTCAATCTCATCAATAAACTTTGTTTGTTGTAGTTCAATACCAAAATCAGATGTTTGTCGAACATGAATACCACATTGAATGAATTCAGAGTACTCCCAGGTTCCCCAAGTAAATTTTTGTTGAATCTTCTGCATGAGTTGATCATGTAGTACATCACCCTCACGACCCCCAAACATAAAATCATCCACATGCCCATGAATAATTGATCGAACTGAACGGTGTTCATCCATGTAGATCCAGCAACATGGTTATGTTTGAAGGCGTCGATACCCAATTTCTCCCAAAAATTTGCTAATAGAATGGTACCAATGTAAGGGTGCCTGTACTAAACCATAAGCAGCTTTACGAAGAAGTAGTGGTGTTCCCTCGCTGACTCCCAGTTCGTCACAGATCTCCTTGACTGGTCGGCACCACATTTCTTCCTCCAAATCCATACCCTGAAGAAATGCTCCAGATACATCGCCCTTGGCCAACTTCAGCTTTTTCCAAGCACAAAATTGGAAAAACAATTGTCTCCCTGATTTTGAAGGTGTTGGCGCGGATGTTTTCCTCTCCTCGTATCTTGGGTCTTGGTAACCCAAAATGATTGCCCTTGCTTTTGCCTTGCGACCTCCTTGTTCATGATATTTTTCATCATACTTCCATGTCAGGAGCCACCGCATACCTAAAACCTTCTCCTCCTCAGGGATCACATTTTTCGCTTTTTCAAAACATTCAGCAGCAATAAAATTTCTCACCTCAGTATGTTTTGCCTTTGTGAATTGAATGGCCTCCTCCGGTGTCAGGGTTCGTTCGCGTACCTCAACTTGGCGGCGTTTGATTTGAGAGGCGACATACGCTTCCGGGTGTTCCACAAATTTCCTAAGTCCCCTCTTTGAAGTGGGAAGGTCCCATTCAATCTCCACGGCCTTGCAATGTTGTTCTTCAGCATAGAAAGAAGAATATTCACAATGTAAATCCTCGTCATACTCGTTGAGTGTGTTCCTAGGTCGTGCCCTACTGCTACTGCTGGTTGAAGTTCCTACAGTGGTGTCCTCCACGGTCGCAATGTCGCGTTTGCCTTTTCTCGCGTCCACAGTTCGTTTCTTCCCATCAGGTTTTTCCAGTGTAGTTTTCTTGGCCTTTCGCGTTGTAGGAATCGCTTCTTCGCCGCCAGGTTCTTGGTGAGGAAATTGTTGCGCTGCTTCCCATTGTTCGTCAGTTGGAGTTTCATGTGAAATATCGACATAGGCGCGCCTACCTTGTTCAGTGGTCAGTGATGTTATAGTCCATGGAATTTCAATAGGGCCCTTAAACTCTTCTAATTGAACTTCGTATGGTGAGGCCTTCCTAAGTTGTTCAGGTGAAGCACGAATCAACCTACCAGCCCTGTGCAACCAAACCACACTCCCCGGTCGGAGTTCTCCTTGTTCATCTCTCCGGGTTTCGGTGGCAACAACTCTTGCTGGACCCAAGAAACGGCCAACGTGTTGAGTCGTCTTTTCCTTGAGTGGCACCTGGTTGCGCCAGTAGAAGACCAAATCACCTGGCAGGAAGGTTTGTGCCCTTCTATGTCCCATCCTTTCTGCTCTTTCCAACCTTCTCTTTGCCTGTTCTTCTGAAAACACTTGTTCAGCCCGGCAACGGAGTTGATGGTTTTCTCGAAATCCCCCATCATCCAAAAGTTCGGGCCCCACTGGTTGAACTTGTTGGGATTCAAATAAGTGATCATGATCATCAGGACACCTACCCAAAGCATGTTGTAGGGGTGCATAACCCTTGAAAAGGTCACGACAGTTCATCACCCAAATAGCTCGTCCTAGAAGTTCAGCAGGTGGCATATCCGGATATTCTGCAGATAAGGTCTCCATCATCCCCTTGGTGGTTTTGATTGCCCCCTCCACTAAGCTGATTTGCCAGTGAGCTTCCGCAGGAATAGGTTGGAGTTCAATGCCATGTTCGCTAGCATATTGGTCGGCCTGATTACTCATCATAGGACCTTGAGGATCTACGCGCAAAACTTGAGGTTGTCCAAAAATTGGTAACCATGACTCCGTGAAAACCTGTTGTATTGTAGTCCATGTAGTGTTGTTGGCAGGGTTGTAAGAAACAATACGGCCCATCCTAAAACGGCTCCCTTCATCCACCAGCATCAGAAAATGAAATTTCTTCTTTGTCCTAGGATGACACCAACTTCCCATATCCATTTGAACCGGTTGCCAACGGCGAGGAATAGTTTCCAAAGTTGAGAACCTCCTAGGATCTTGTTTCTCGTAGGTCTCACACATGGGGCATTTCCATTGCTTTGCAACTTGAAGAACTTTTGGTGGAACCCCTCGTTTTTCCAAAGCCTCTACCAGATTCTTCATACTACCATGCCCTGTAGCCCGATGTATGTGTTGTATCTTCTTCTCGATCTCCTCTCTCTCCCCCTCTGCAAAGTCCTCAACCTCCCGCATGTCATCCTCAGCCTTTCCCTCTTCGGCCGGCATCGCCGTCTCCTCCTTGTTGAGCTCTTGCAAAGTCCTGGGCCAAGATTCTTGCATGCTAAGTGAGTCTACCACTTTGCGTGCGAAGGGAGTTGTGTACCGCGCTGTATGTGCAGTTTGGCCAGCTTCGCATTTTCCGCGAACATGATTCTTCTGACATCGTAGGTTGAGATGTTGAAGGAGTTCTTCGTTTTGTGTTGCGATGGTCCATCCTTTACATAGGGGTAGTTTCTTGTCCTTGGTCCTCAAACCCACTGCGCAGCCGTGACATGTCACCTTTTCTAATCGAAGCTCTTCCAGGAATCGTTGTACTTCAGGTAAATGCCATGCTTCGGATCGCTCAGAAAATTCCCAATGCACTTGTGTTCCATGACGTTTGGCATATCTTGCTACTTCCATGGCACCCTTGTATTGAAGCCTAGCTTGCTGTTGTTTGGTCTCAAGGTTCTGGATTTGATGTTCATTGCGACGGTTCAACCTTTGAAGGGGACAAAAAGGACCACATGTGCAAGAAATCCAAAGGTGTATTGGACGATGCTGCCTTATAAGCTCCTTTGCGTGAGCCACCCCTTGACTAGTCTCAAGGTTGCCCCCATTCCACTCGCTACACCTAATCGCAGACCCTGCGCCAAAACGCTGTAGGACTTCCCCACTAAGCAAACTATCAGAGTAACACGCCAACTCCATGAGAAGAGGTCTTTGATGTTGAACTAAAGTCTGCCATTTCCCCGAATAGGGGTTTTTCTGGGGTTGCCACTCTCGCATTAGCTTGGCTGCCATCGTCTCAGAAAGAAGACATTCTGACTCAGCTGCTATCACATCTCCTTCCGGTTCTTGGAATGCTTGGGAGCTGTCTCCTCCTTCTCCTTCTCGAGTTGCTCGATCTGTGCCCTCAGGGCCAGAATCTCTTGGTCCTTGGATCCCACAGCCTCTGACTGAGCTCCCGTTGTGCTGCCCTTGCTGGTGATCTTCGTGAAGCTCCCCATGGACAGGCTGATGTCTGAGAGTTTGTCTTCTTTGTCCTTGATGTCGAAAGGTTTCTTGTAGGTGGTCATATCTTTCTCGTGCTTGTGTTGCTGGGCCCAGGCCGCCAAACGGCGCAGTCTCCAGCATGACTCGACCGGATTCTCCTGGGCAGTGGTAATCACCCATCCCAAATAGCCCGGCACGGTTTCCGCCACCTCCCCGTAGGTCATGTGTCCGTGACGTCCAAAGCCCACGATCTCCTTCTCCGTTGGTGGGAATTGTTCGGTGATGATCTGTTCCCCCATTCCATAGAGCTGAGCAATGGTCATGTTGCCCCGGATCTGGCCACCGAGATTCTGGACATACTGAGAGATCTCTGCCTTCTTTTTGGACGCCACTTTGAGGTCTTTCATCAACTGTTGATATTGGAGCTCCTGTGGAGTGGGGCCCACCTGGTCTTGGATCTCCTCCCAGTGTGCCTGCATCTGAAGAATGGTCCAGTGCTTCGGCACTTTGGTGCCGGCCTTCTCCAGTTTGGCAATCCACTCGGCACGGGTGGTGTATGGCATGATCACCTGTCACAGGTGCTTGGAGCGCTGTGTTTTGAGCTGACGTGTGGTGGACGCATGAATTTGAATAGTGTGGTATACGTTCGTGTGTGTCATGTGTGTTCTCCTGTTCCTTTTCCTTCTCCTCATCACAAGATTTCATCACCTCCTGCTCACAGTAAAAACAAATTCCACGGCAAACTGAAAATAAACGGCAATCAGCACACTCAGTGTAACAACGAGTGAGTGATGTCCCAATGGACAAGAGTTTTCCCTTGTCCCCATGCCCCAAATGTGCGCTCCCCTGGTCAGCTCCTTTTTCAAGAGCTTCCATTCGGCCAGAGGAGTCATGTCCCTACTCAGCATCTAATGACGTGAAAGGAGTGTTCCTGGCTCGTCCTCGTTCCAGCAAATTGCCAGTCAACGGCATGAGTAGATGGCCATTTGGGGCCTCTTCAAGGTCCACCACCACCTTTGGGTCCACTTTCTTGTAGGTGATCTTGTTCTCTGCGAAGTCCAGCACAGCTCCTAGTGATCTAAGTGCCCTTCTTGATACTAGGATAGGCTGCCCGGGTGTGTCGTGCACATGGATCTCCATGTTCCCATCTTTGTCTCCTGCTGCCATTCTCATCTTGACAGTGGAAATGCATTGACGTCGAGCACCATTCCCAAACTTGAACACTGGCTTGTGGTCTGTGTCAATGGTCATGTGACTGTTGCCACTGGTCAACAAGTTCTGTGCCATGATCTTCTCCAAAGCCTCAGCAGATCCCAGTGACGCAGTAGCGCCTGAATCAATCACCCCCATGCAAGGTGGGAATTGTGAATGCACCACGTGGGATTCCTCTTCCGTCCACCCAGCGTAGGCCTCCACATTTTCCGGGTAAGTCGCAAAGGCAATCTCAGCCGCCTCCTCGGCGATCCTGGCTTCCTTGCCACGAAGAGGGCAATCAGCCAGCTTGTGGGGACCTTTGCATTTGAAGCATTGGAGAGGTGGTCGAGCACTGGAAGCCGAACTTGTTGTAGAGCTGCTGCCCTTGACGTATGGCTTCGGGGGGAAAAAGTTTCGACCCAGACGGATCTGTCGTTGCTTCCACCTAGCTTCCTTGAGAGTGGCCTTCTGTTGCTGAATGGCCGCATATGCTTCTTCAATCCGTTCTTGTTCCACAAGGAAAGCTTCCTTCTCGTCGTGACCCAGTAGTTCAAACTCTTGGTCCAGGTCGTCAGCAAGCAGTGCCTCCAACTCATCATCGTGGTCAACCTCCGCCATCAGAGCGGTGCCACCCTTGAGTTTGTCTCGCTTGGCTAAGTCATAGTCTGACCATTGTTCACGTAGAGCTCTACCCACTGACCGGGTGGAAAACTCACCTCTGATTGCTGCCAACACGTTGCCCTTCTCATTCACATCCAGACCTGATCGGTGGAGAAGAAGGAAGCCCGCCAAGAACTCAGGGATGAAGATCTCATCGCTGACATCCCAATCGGCTGGGGGGTCATAGGCCTTGGACTTCCAAGTCTTATCAGACCACCCTCCCTGCCATGAGCTTCCCCAGTCCTTCCAGCTATCAGAAGCCTCCTCGTCCTCCTCGTCGAGCTTCCCATCATCTCGGAAAGGACCTGAGTGAGCCTCAGAGGGAGCCTGGTAATAGTCATACTCCCAGGCATCCTTGGCTCTCTGGGTTTTCCCAGTCCCTTCACCACCATATTCTCTCTGAACCTTCCGGAGTGCCTGTGACGCTTCCCAAAGAGCTTCGGCATGTCGTGTCACCCAGCCAGTCATTGTTTCGCCTTTGGCTCTGTAGAAGAACTTCATGACAAAACGGCTAGCCTCAACGAGACTCGGTTTCGACAAGGTTTGCTCCAAGTACCCCAACAGCTGATACACGCCCCTAGGGTGAGCAAGCCATTGGGGATCCTTCAGGGTCTGTGTGCGAATTGCCACTTTGGCGACACCTGACAACTCCTTCACTAGTCTCGGTCCAGCAAGATATCGTTTGTGATGTTCAAAGGACATCCAGTATTGCAGCGCCTCTTCTCGGTAAAGAGGAAGAAGTTCTGGACTTCCATCATATTGGGGAATTCCATCACTGGTTCTGGTAATCTTCTGATTCGTCATCATGCTTACACAGCTCAATGACGTCCACTCACTATCCACTTCTGTTTCTCACCTAGTTTGCTTCCTCAGCTAAACCAGGCTCCGGCTGCCATGCAAAATGCAGCGGAGTTGGGCTCTTTTCCTGAAACCCTAGGGGCGGTCTTGATCATGAATATTGCCGTGGAATGATCGGAATTTCTCAAATTCGCATATATATATATATATGTATTATGTATATATGTATTCATTTAAATCTATTTAGGTTTACTTACACCTACGCAACTATACGCATTTATATGTACAGTTTGTGTCCCTAAACAAACGCTAAATAGATCGCAATCTAACTCGAAAAAAAATTGACATAGAACCGAAATCAACCCTAAAGAGACCCTTAACTAACCTTAGATGAACCATAAACAAACCCCAAACTAACGCAAAATGAACCCTAAACCAACCCAAAATAAACCCTAAAACAAAACCGAAAGATGTCTTAAACCAGCACATGACTCACGTCATCCAGTGAAACTTTACAGCCAACACAGTTCTGCGTCAACTTACATTCTAGATGTTGACACGATGCATGTTGTGCCGAAAAGGCACCTTGAGCATCATGTAAACTCAATGAAAAGCATGGAAACAATGATGAAAACCATGGAAGAAAAACAATAAAAACCATGGAGCAATCAATGAAAACCATGGAAAATCAATGAAACACATAGAAAATGTGATGAAAACCTTGGAAAATCAATGCAAGCTACGGAAAAGTTAATGAAGGCCATGGACAAAGCAATGAAAAGATTGGAAAAATCATTGAAAATCATGGAAACATTAAGGAAACACAGTGAAAACAAAGATGAAGAGCACACAGCAAATTGCATTTTTATTTCCAAATGCAGCAAGCCATGTGGTCTGACCCATTGACACCAGTTTTGCGCTTGGAAAAAAAGGGATGCTTTGCATGTAATGTCTAGCGTTGGCCCTGAATAATTTTTTTTTGATGCTTTCGAGCAGCTTGATCTCCCCTAGCCTCGGGGGATCAAGAAAAAATATTTCCAGATCAAAAAAAATATACCTAACCTACCACTAAATTTAGATGAAATAGGCAATATTTTTTTAAAGATCCTAGTGTTTTATTTTTTTTGATCTGGATTTTTTTTTCTAATCCTCCACTCGAATTTTCTTCCATTTCTTTGCGGAGCGGGCACTATAGAACTCTTAGTGATGCGAGATGATGCGAGAGATTTGTGAACAGTCACACTGCATAGGCTGCCATCAGGCTTCCCTTTTCTTTTTTGGTTCTGTTGCTTGCGGCAAACTCAGGCAGGAGAACAAGACCTTACAGAATTCATTGGCTGAAAGGAACGGTGTTGTGGAGGAAAGGGACCGTATCGTGAAGGAAAGAAACAAATTGATCGAGAACGTGGTGAAGTTGGAGTTCCTCGGTGCCAAGAAGGTCAAGTTTCCAGGGGATTTATAGCTAGATGCAGGCTGGTGGTAGAATTACTGTAGCGATAGAACAGAATTATGATCCATTGTTTGTGTTCCCAAGATGGTGCTTGTTCTCGTTCTTTCCTTTTCATTTTGAATTTTCGATGTGCCTAGCTTTTTGAACCCTCTATGAAACCCAGGAAGGAAAAGAGAGATTCTGAGAGTTTGCAAGCAGACCATGCCACCCAGATGATGCTGCAGGAATCTTGGCGACTAAGCCGCCAGCTGCAGACAAAAGTCTGCATCGAACTGAATTATTGTGATGCAGCTTTCTCCAACATCCAGAAGGCGCTTGTTGAGGCATGTCCCCCGGATCACTACGCAGTTTGTAGCCGTATGAGGAACGTCAGCATAACGGGTCTGCAGCAGATTTGCAATGTCAGAATTTGGAAGGACTACGACTTTCGGAAAGAGCAAGTTCGTAAAGAACTTGAAGGCCGTGAGACTGTTCCGACTGTGACTAGCAATCTGCCACCACACATGTGCAAGTGGGCACATTTGGATGAAAAGATCAACGAGATTTTGCTGATCCATGGTACTACGCAAGACAAGATAGACCAAATTGCAAGTTTTGGATTCGACGAGCGCCTTGCGCGTGAAAGTGGGCTTTACGGCCAAGGAGTTTACTTCACGGACCAAAGCTGCAAGAGCCTTCAATACTCTGGAGCAAACTGTGGCCACACCGGTTGCTTCATAGTTGCTCGCGTAATACTTGGGCATCCCAGCAATGCTGTTGGCCCATTGAAGAGTCTGAGGGTAGAACCGCTGGTTGATGAAACCAATCCTTGCAAAGGCCGATGTCACTCCGTGATTGCTCAGCCAGGGATTCCGAATGGCAATGGCTTGCAGAAGCAAGTCCACCGAGAGTTTGTCCTTTTCGACGGAGCCCAGGCATATCCGGAAATGGTTGTTCATTTCAAGATTTCTTGATTCCTTGGCGTGCAAAGCGACTCGCTGAGATAGATTGGGTGAGCAGTACAATAGTGCAAATCATGAACCAGTCGCCAAAGTTGCGGGGTGGAAATTGACCATTTGCGCAGCAAGAAGGGTTTGCTTTCTTCCTAGCTATATGCCACAGCTTTGCATTCAACTCTCGGCCTTTACCCTACTTTCACACACACAGACAGAACGATAGACAGATAGACAGACAGATTACAGATTAGATTAGATTGGATTCGATTAGATTAGATAGAGATAGAGATAGAGAGAGAGAGATAGAGAGAGAGAGAGACAGACAGATAGAGAGAGAGAGAGAGATGGATAGATAGATAGATAGATAGATAGACAGACAGATAGATAGATTGATGGATAGATAGATAGATAGATAGATAGATAGATACTGTAATATAGATAAAAAAAGATAGATACGATAGATAAGATAGATCAGATAGAACAGATAGATAAGATAGATAAGATAGATAGGATAGATAGGATAGATAGGATAGATAGGAAAGATAGGAAAGGTAGGACAGATAGGAAAGGTAGGACAGATAGGATAGATAGGATAGATAGGATAGATAGGATAGATAGGATAGATAGGATAGATAGGATAGATAGGATAGATAGGATAGATAGGATAGATAGGATCGATAGGATAGATAGGATAGATAGGATAGATAGGATAGATAGGATAGATCGATAGATCGATAGATCGATAGATCGATAGATCGATAGATCGATGGATCGATGGATCGATCGATAGATAGATAGATGGATAGATAGATAGATGGATAAGATAGATAAGATAGATACGATAGATCAGATAAATAAGATAGATAAGATAGATAAGATAGATCAGATAGATCAGATAGATCAGGTAGAACAGATAGATAAGATAGATAAGATAGATAAGATAGATAGGATAGATAGGAACGATAGGAAAGATAGGATAGATAGGATAGATAGGATAGATAGGATAGATAGGATAGATAGGATAGATAGGATAGATAGGATAGATAGGATAGATAGGATAGATAGATGGAAAGATAGATAGATAGATAGATGGATAGATAGATAGATAGATAGATTAATAGATTAGATTAGATAGATAGATAGATAGGTAGATAGATAGATAGATCAATAGATCGATAGATCGATAGATCGATAGATCGATAGATTGATAGATCGATAGATCCATAAATCGATAGATCGATCGACAGATAGATAGATAGATAGATGGATAAGATAGATAAGATAGATACGATAGATCAGATAAATAAGATAGATAAGATAGATAAGATAGATCAGATAGATCAGATAGATCAGGTAGAACAGATAGATAAGATAGATAAGATAGATAAGATAGATAGGATAGATAGGAACGATAGGAAAGATAGGATAGATAGGATAGATAGGATAGATAGGATAGATAGGATAGATAGGATAGATAGGATAGATAGGATAGATAGGATAGATAGGATAGATAGGATAGATAGGATAGATAGATGGAAAGATAGATAGATAGATAGATAGATAGATAGATAGATAGATAGATAGATAGATAGATTAATAGATTAATAGATTAATAGATTAGATAGATAGATAGATAGGTAGATAGATAGATAGATCAATAGATCGATAGATCGATAGATCGATAGATCGATAGATCGATAGATTGATAGATCGATAGATCCATAAATCGATAGATTGATCGATAGATAGATAGATAGCTAGATAGGATAAGCTAGGATAGGATAGGATAGATTAGATAGATAGAAAGATAGATAGATAGATAGATTAGAACGATAGATAGATAGATAGATAGATAGATAGATAGATAGATAGCTGGATAGGATAGACTAGATAGATTAGATAGATTAGATAGATTAGATAGATTAGATAGATTAGATAGATTAGAAAGATTAGAAAGAAAGATTAGAAAGATTAGATAGATTAGAAAGATTAGATTGATTAGATAGATTAGATAGATTGGAGAGGTTAGATAGATTGGAACGATTAGATAGATTAGAAAGATTAGGTAGATTAGATAGATTAGATAGATTAGATAGATTAGATTGATTAGATAGATTAGAAGGATTAGAGAGGTTAGATAGATTAGAAAGAT